CTATAAGTTTTCTGAATTCAGAGTAAAACCATTAAAATGCTTTTGGCGAAAATATTTAAAACAACGGTATTCCAGTAAAATATGATGAATTGTCATAATTCCATTGCAGTTTACACAAAGTAGATCTCTATTACCTTTCAGATGCTCACGATCAGTTGACATTGACCGATTCTCAAACAAGTTAAAAGTACTTCTTTAGCAATAATGTTTGTTACTTCAATCCCTTTCATGCCATCGTGGCGAAGGATCCAGGAGTAGAAAATCTGATATCCCCAACATTTTAGAATCTTATTAAGATTCAAAATTTCGGTAATAATACGATTCGAACTAAGAGTAGGATCTTTCAATAATATTAAAGCACTCAAAGTATCTGCATAGATAATAAAATACTTGCAAAATTGTTTCAAGAGGAAAGTTAAAGCCTGATAAAATGCAGTAGTTCAGAAGAGAAAACCAAGCAAGTTGGGTGTAATTGAAACCCAACAATGTTTATTCCACTACAAAAGTTGCACCAACATGATCTCGGGATTCAGATCCATCTCAGTTGAGAGTGATATAGTTTCTATATTTATGTCTATGCTCTGCAAAGACCTGTCTGTAAATGATATCACTAGTGTTAGATTTATTGCCATGTTGGAATGTATCAAGAAGCTGAATTTCCAGTCCTCATATGGTTGAATTTCAAAATTATTCTCCAGTTGTGTATTGATATAAAACATACTGCTTTAGCAAGGTGCCTACTCTAAGACCAAACAGTATACAGTACAAAGTCTGTATTACGGACGTCTATTACCCGGAATAATCTATAATCTGGACCTCAAAGCCACAAACTTTACACATGCGCATAAAGAATGCACATACATTACTCATGTGCGTAATGTATGCTTTACGCACTGAAAGAAATTAATAAAGTAAACAAATAAATATTAAGCTTTTTTTTTTTTTTTTTTTTTTTTTTTTTTTGTAAAATTTGACACCCTTTAGATCATAACCAACTCTATACATATCGCTTTGCTAAATGCACACTTACTTTCCTGCTTCCCTTTTGTTGTGCAAACGTGCTGTTCATCACTCTGCTTATTTTGCATTGTCTCAAAATGCGATATGTTATACGAAATTATGGGACCTTCTTCTTAATTATTGCACCCTTTAGATCATAATTGCTCTTTATTTCATAAATTATGGTTTCATATTTTTAACTGTATAATTTCTGCATGCCATCTTACCAGATTTAAATTGATGATCTGGAACAGCTTGAGTATAGGATACCATTGGCGATTTTTTGGCTTGGCGACCAGAAATGTCGCCTAGCCATGGAAAAGCCGTTAAAATTGAAAACACAAGTTAGAAAGCACGTTTTAAGCAGAAAAAATTTTAGAATATATGTTTAAACAGCAAATTTGAAGGTACATAAGTAAGTAGGGGCACATTTTAAGTAGTAATATTGAAAATACAAGTTTAGCCTTGTAAAAGCAGTTAAAATTGAAAATAGATGTTAGAATGCACATTTTAACAAGAAAAATTTTAAATACAAATTCAGAATATACATTTAAACAGTGAAATTGTAAATAAATAAATAACAGCATATTTTTAGCAGTCATACTGAAAATACAAATTACAAGCTGTAAAATTGAAAATAGGAGTTCAGAATACATGTTTAAATTAAAAATATGAAAATGAGTTAAGAATGCATGTTTAAATTAAAAGTAAAGAAAAGTTTGAAAGTACACAAGTACATGGAGGCATATTTTAAGCATCAATATTGAAAATGCAAGTTTTAAGTAATAAAACTGAAAAACAGGAGTTCAGAATACATGTTTAAATTAAATATAAAAAAAAAAAAAAAAAAAAAAAAAAAAAAAAAAAAAAAAAAAAAAAATGCTGGAAATTTAGCAAAGTTTACAAAATCATGGTAAATTTACAAAGAAATGCTATACTCTCTGTCCAAATTATGTCCCTTACAATTTCGAGAAATTTGTTGAATACATCAATATTTTGCTCCTTCGAAGAAAATGACACTTTCCAGTTTAAAAAACACGCGGGAATGCGACAGAGTTGCTGAAGTGGAGTATTCTAGAAGTTACTGGGTTACCAGAAAAACAACTGTCCCAAAAGTGCGCAAAGCCAAAAATCGCCAATGGGGTCCTATACTCAAGCTGTACCGATGATCTATAATCCGGAAAAACCCCTAATCCAGAATCACCGAAGTCCCGATGAGTCCGGATTACAGACTTTGTACTGTACATAATGAATATTCTGATACAAACAAGAGCATGAATCCTTGAGTAAGTGTAGATGAATGGAATTCTTGATTTGTGACATGATTTTTAAAACTGTGCTTGAGGCAAAGCATTACTGCAGATGCGAAGTGCTTCATGATGTAAGGGAACGATTTTGGCCAATGCGTAAATAAATTGATCTACAGTCAAGTTTTGAGTGGATAAGGGCTCTATAAATATGAAGCATTAAGCTGCAATCAGCTTCCCAGGAAGTATTCAACAAGAATTTCAGAACATGCATAATTTTTAAACATTTCTTTTTTAGAGAGATGGTATGGAGAAGGAAGGTAAGTTTGTGGTTGAACAATACATCTAGGAATTTTACCTCCTTAACAACAGGAACCAGTCCTGCAAATAAAGTATGGATTTAGAATGAGGAATCTTCTTGCAAAAATGCAGGCACACAATTTCTTGAGTAGAAAACCTGAAACAATTCTCCTGCGACCGTTTAATTGTTCTATTCGGATGTTTGCAACTCTTTCTTAATGTGTGTCAGGTCTGTCCCAGGACAACTAAATACCCACCCAATGAAGCCCAATGAAGCCCAATGAAGAAATACAGATCCCTGCGTTAGGGCTAAATGGTCATATATGCAAACTGAAGCCCCACAGTCAACCTTCCTGAAAGCTTATCCCCAAACCATTGACAGGAAGGACACAAATGGGGAACAGCTAAGTGCTTCCCATTTGAGCTGAAACAGAGGTTAAAGCAGCTTGTTGGGGATAATACCTTGCTTCTCAATTAACAAGATCTGCCTTTCCAGTCGTATGGGTTGCCACTCACTGTACATGAGTAAAAATAAAGGTTTCCTCATGAGGGTGAAACAGAAACAAAATAGTTGTAACTACACATCACAGTGATAAAAAGGTCACTGGGATTCCATGATTGTGACACCTGATCACCAAGAAGGCAATCTCCTGAAGAGTCTCTGCCTGCTATGCTTTAGCCGAGCATACTGGAATGGCCTTCATGCCTAGGATGGCTCTATTAGGAGCTAGGCTCCCAATGTACTTCATTTATTCCACCCAATGACTCTCTTTCCTGCCATGGTGAGGCAGCCCAAAATAATTTGAAGGCATTTTAACTATAAATTCACTGTTTTATGAAATCTTCCTCTAGCTGCACGTTAAAATTATACCTATCTAAATTAACTAACAAAGCTATTTTTGATCAAATTACATTTCTCACTGCAGGTCAAACAAATACACTGCAAGAAGCACAGAGTAATTTTTATTGCTAAAGCTATGTGATTCTCTTAGATGAAGTTCTTAAATTCATAATATTCAAAGGAAAGTATGAATAAACTTCTATTATTTTAAATTATTGATAGACTGCACTTAAGTCTATCATATGCCCACCTGACTAAATAAAAGTGACAGCAATTCAACTAATGGAGAAATCAATTTAACTCAATAAAAAAGAAACACAGAAGAAACTAGTTAAATTATTAAAGTTGAACACTATCATCTAATTCATATAAATCAACACCCCAAAATTCGCAGTTAGTTATATAGTTATATACTACCAGATACAAATTACAGAATCTGTGACTTTGCTACAAGTATGGTGCGTCCAAACTTTTGCTATAAATGAACATATGATTGCTCAAAATTAAGACATATGTCAAAATGTTAATCTATATGTTTTGGTGATGTCTTCATGCTCAAGTTTTGAAAAGCAAATGCAAAACCCAAGACAGAGACTCTGGAGTTGATTAAATACTTCAGTGTGTATTTGAAGATATTTTTAATGATCTGTGTAACAAAGCATGGCACTTGCAATATGCTATACATACATATCTTTGAAACTTTTGATAGTGTATTTACTCACTTGATACCAATCAAGTGTGCCAGAGATAATAATTTACAGTGTTAGATAATATTAGTTTATTGGTGATTGAATCAATGCTTCTAAACTGTACAACCAAAATTTTCTATCTTTTTGACATTCAACTCACAAGATAATTTCCAACATAGTAAGCTTGATGCCTTAAAGAGGAGTAGCTCAGCCCCATATCCATGACTTGCTAAGCTTAGATATTTGAGAATAACAGCGATTTTGGAGATCGTCTTAAAATACTTAAATGAAAAATACGCTTTCCCAGGTATCCTAAAATATATCTTTTAAAACAATTCATTAAAAGAGAAAAAATATGAAAAGAATAAAAAGTAAGAATTTTGCAGCTATAACTTTTATTGTAAAAGGAAACAAGATACTTTAACAGTTCTTTATATTCTTATTAAAATTCACTGTCAAACATAACAAGTATACAACAAGGCAAAAATACATAAAAACTCAAAATATTTTCATTAAAAATTGAAAAATACAGAAAAACGTAAAACATCAAATACAGTTAAAACAATTTAAAAAACAATTTAACAACTTGAATTACAGTTTCTATGCAAAAACAAGCAATTCAGCCAGCGAGCAAGAAGGCAGATTTTACGATGTACAAAACTAAAAGCTTCCTTTTGGTCCTTCTCGACAAAACGACACTGAATGTGCAGAAAGACTTAATTCACTAGTTTACTAAGTTTCAAATGTAAACAAATATGGCTGCTATGGGGAAAAAAAATAGGCTTAGCCACACTTGAACAACGTTTAAATTGTTGATAATTCTACAACTATTGTATGCAGATTAACTAAAGGCATAAATACCTTAACTGGAAGATAAGAACAACATTCAATCATTTTTAAAGCAAAAATGCACGATTTACAAACCGGGTGAAAAAATTCCGCCCAAATTTTAGCCAATGGTTATTCAGAAGATCTTCAACACTTGTTTTTAAATTAGCAAGCACTGACAACCATGCAAGTACAGCCCAAATTCCATCCTTCTCCCTATGAAATATCAAACATTTAATTACAAATGCATAATATAAATATACAACTTACTTTTATTAAATATATATTAAAAGCAAATAAAATAAATAACATGCCTTAATAAAAATGTATTATAAACATTTACACATGAAATGCAAATTAAACAAGCCATATTATTTTGGTTTCATTTATTTAATTATGGCAAAGCACGTGAAGGCTATCTACCTGAGAGGACAGATACATTTGTGGAGGACTTTCTAAGGGAAACTGGCTCATATACACACATTAATACTTTTATTATTATTTCTTAACTGATTAAATAAGATGTTAGTAATCCTTCTTCTAATTCAAATGATGAATGTTCAAATGAATTTGTAAATGGAAAAATTTACAGGCCACAGTATTGAAAAGAATACCTAGACATGTTTTTGGAAAGAAATGCTTAACCTTGTTCCTGTTATGCCAGCATGAGACAGAACTTTGGCAAAGGATATCATTACCACACAGAAAAGTATGCTTGGTTTGCTAGAATGCAGAGGCAGTGAAAATTTATTCTGCACACAGCATAGCTTCAAAGTGCTTTTGAAAAAATATTGCCTAGACCATCATACTTTCTTCATTCAGTCAGAAAAATTTCACCTGCATCAAAGTAAGAAGAAATTTAAACATAAACGCTGTAAATGAGCTCACATGCCAGCATGATGTAACCGAAAGAAGACTGAGCATACTCTTATTTTTCTGTCACTGGTGATCAAATATTAATAATATTAGATACCAATTGCAAATATTTATATAAATGGTTGCAAGCAAAACAAAAACTGAATCTGGTTGTGAAAACTCACATTCAGAAGTATAAAATGAACTGTGTGCTACATTTAAAATTACAAGTAACAGCCACAATATTTCTCCTTATGTTGAAGACAAAATGACATGTGCTACCTTCTGTGATGTACTGCTGTCTCAATTTATTACCCACTGTATCCCAATTATTACCCCAATCTTTGACAGTCACTATTTATTCAGAGATGTTTTTTCCTAGGTATTGTGTCATAACAGACTAAACTTTCTTGAAATATATTTGAGTTTTAATAAATATTCAAGTTACATTAATATATAATTTAAACAATTTGCATTCTTATATTCAAGTGAAACACAATACTGACCAATAATTAAGCATTACATTTACTGCTTATGACCCAGGCATGCTGCAAACATGGACTGTTAATGCACAAAACTGCATAATGCAGAAGTTTTGCTTTCAATGGTGGCAGAAATTATGAAATGATTATAATACAAATTAATTAACAGCGAAATGGTGTATGAATTTCCCCCTTCTAGTACTATCTAGTAATTGGCCAAAGAAAAAGAGAGAGAGAGCTGCAATTTCAATTTCATATTTTGATTCAATTTTTCAATCACCACAAATAAAATTCATAAATATTTAACAGTCAAAAAATGTTACTCCTCTTTGACATTTCTGATTCTTCTTCCACTGCTTCTCTATTAAAGAAACCTGGTCATTTTCTATGACTTTTCTAAAAAAAATCTATTTTTTTACTTTTATAGCCGTTCTTGTAGTTGTATACAGTAAAAAGATATTTTGAAATGCACCTTCACATTTAAATTACCAGAAATGAAAGTTAATATTAGAAAATTCACGTGACAAAACTACTACTATGTTACTATTAAGATAAAAACACATGATTAAAAATTCTTTTCACCACATAATCATGAAGAAAAATGGTTAAAAATTTATACAGATGAGATATTAATTTGTTACTGCTACGGAAATTTTCCTGAGTTAGATTTCAGTACTTAAAATTTACAGACAAAAAGACTTACCGTATTTGAGGGCATATAAAACGCACCCTTATTTTAGAAGGCCACACACACAAGGAAAAAAAAGTTTCAATAGTACGTGCGGCAACAAACTAACTTAAAATGTGGTTTCTTTTAGTTCTCACGTTTTGTAAAAGGCAAATAAACAATCATTGAATGCAATTACCAAACATATTTTATTAAGAAAAATTAACAAACGAAAAGCTATTTTGGACATGATATGTAAATGAATGAGCGGTAGGTGGTGGACCGAAATGCCTTGCTGCTGCTCTGTTTCCATGCACTTTGGCATAGTTTAACACTCCTAGTTTATACTGAATTATGTAGCTTAATCTCTTGTTTCTTGTAGTCACATTTTCCAGGGTATTTTTTTAAAACAAATAGATTTAAGCACCGATACCGACACGTTTATACAGAATAGCACTGATACTGACACGTGTGTCGGCTGAGTCAAAGAAAGTCTATGTATAAAAGGAAAGGCTCCATAGACGTAATGTGACCATCAAACCTGTTCGAACTTTGACATCAGCTTCAAGCTTTGGCGCTTTTTTGGCGACAGATATTTCATGCATGCACAAAATAATTATGGCAGATGTAAAAAAAGTTATGTGTGTCTAGACCTTTATTCGGGCTAAAAATAACATTCAGTATTGAAAGTTAACCTGTGTCCTTCATGTATAAGACGCAGGTAATTTTTTTTTGAGACCAAATTTAGGAAAAAAGTGTGTCTTATATGCCGTCAAATACGGTATTAGTCACAAATTTAAATTAAAAGTATAATTTTTTTTACTAAGCACTTTTTGATTCTATATGCAATGTTTTCTTTTACATAAAAAATAGAGCCAATTACTTTGCATATTTATGACCATTTATTTTGTATATTTATGACATGATAAAAAATATAGTTTTTTCCATTTAGAATAAAAATTGGTACTTACGTATTAACGCAACCAGACCAAAATTTGCATAAATCGCCAAATTTGGCGACCCTACTTACGGCAACCCTATGTGTGTGGAAATAGACGAAAGTTTATTTGTAAAAAGAAAAAATAACACTGGGCGTGTACTACCACAGCATTGGGTTTTTGGCGGAATTTGCCGAGAAAAGAAAGAGACTTTTTTGGTTACTGTACCTAACAGAAGCGCCCTTACCCTCATGGAAAAAATTTGCGAAAATATGAAGGAAGGAAGCATCATTTATTCGGATTGCTGGAAAGGATACAATACAAGTGAGTTCGAAAATGCTGGATTTCTGCATAGAACTGTTAATCACAAATATAACTTTGTGGATCCCAACACGGGCGTTCACACACAACATGTGGGGCTCAGCCAAATGGCGCAACAAAAAACAGAGAGGAACAGCCCGTCATCATCTTGACTCATACCTTATTGAATTTATATGGCGCCAAGCTCAAGCTGTTAATGGCGAAGACGGTTTTTCAAATCAGTGCTAAAAGCAAACAGCCAAAAGATTTCCGCCGAAAAAATAATTCTGCAACTTATTCAAATTCGAAACCGGAAGGGTTTAATTGCTATTTTATATTTTAAAACAAAATAAATTAAAAAACTGTATTAAAAATTATCTGTAATTAATAAATGTACATTTTCTTTCTATTGATACTTTTTTACTCAAACTTACAAATCGTGCTAACCTGGTTGCGATAATACGTAAGTACCTAAAAATTTTATCAACACATATAAGAATAAAAAATATTTCTATGTAACAGATGTAATAACAGTTTTGTACATAATCACTATAAATACAAAATCAAGCGTTAAGTAAAAATAATCCAGAAAACAATGAACATGAAAAAAACCTATTTACATGGGGAAAAAAATAATAATAAAAGAAAAAGAGGAGGAGACAACTGACATTACATATTTAGTTTAAATTTTGTTTTCTATATGTTGGTTTTAATTTAATACTCATAAATTAAAATAATCTACAATCTACAAACTTTTTTAGATGCTTTTTGGCTATACAAGTTAAAAATCAACACAAACTAAAATACCTTATATGATCAGAGCCAGTTCCAAAACTTTCTTCACCACACAAAGAAAGCATTCCGGCATCCATCAAATTACCAAAATATTTCCATCCTGTAGGAGTTTCAAATATATTTTTTCCTGTAACTTGAGCAACTCTATAAAAAGCAATAATTTTAAAATCTTTTTTAATAATTATTATGTTTATAATAATTTAAAATTAAAAAAAAGATTTAAAAAAGGAAAATTTTACTCTTTATGCTTGTTTCAATAGTTATATGAAGTGTTATAAATACTGTATCTAACATTTTATTTAGGATTATTACAGGGGGAAGACTTTCGAGAAGACAACTGAAAGTATAAATAAATGACAATAGATATTACCCTAACTTTCTAACTTTAAAATTAAGCAAAGTTAATCTTTTGTCATGTGTTCTACAGAAGAGTTCCAAGTATTTCAACAGAATATGATATAGGTTTTTCTCTTTGAGAAGATGTACATAATTTTTCCATAATAACAGGAACAATAAACAGCTTTTTTTGTTTTAAAAGAACTTTTTTAAGTGCCAATCTAGTTTGAAGCAATTAAAAAACATAAAAGGCTTAAATTAATTAAATTTTGTACGGCAGCAGTAATTTCTGATTATCTACACCCTCACCAAAATGTTGTGAAAATGGATTCATGAGCCAAAGCAGTATGCTGTCAAAACAATTACGTGGCTACCTAGGTATGTGGGCAACAAGCATCTGTTTTAACCAGTGCATAATGCAGAAGTAATACAGACACAAGTTTGTGCTCTCTGATACTTTTTTTTAAAGCTATTCGGTGTGTACATGGAGCGAAAAACAGTGCAGAAAATAAGAATTTCTTGCAAAAGATTATTAATGTTTCTTGCTTTTAAAATTTTATTAACTGATTGCTCTTGTATGAAATTTTTAGAATGAAAATTTCAAAATGCCAACATTTTGAAAGTGGCTGTTACATTCATGCATTACCTTGGCAAAAAATATGACATCAATGAGTTGTAAATGTTCTCCAAAGTTGTCAACAGATTCGCAACATTTTGACGGGGGCTGTGGATAATCAGAAAGTACAAAGGCAGCTATTTCAAGTATAGAATATTATTTTTATTACAGTCTTTTGCCAGGAGGGGGGCTCATCAACACCAGTAGCATGGCCAGAGCACTTCACTTCTTGAATGTCATTGTCCTTGTTTTTAAACTTTCATTACCAAACCTTAACAGTTTTATATGATAGAAAATCAGCACTTAAAGCTGTGGACATGATTTGGTGACATTCTGTAGCTAACTTTCTGCAACAGACCTGCAAGCAAATGATGGTTCTAATCTGACAGCGTGATAATTCAATTCAGACACCTTGTACTTATAATGATATTGAAATTTTTTTTACAAATTTCACAACACAGTGTTCTAAAGCAAGTCTTTTTCTTCCAAATGCCAAAAACCATTTCACAAAATATAATTAAACATGCCAACACGAACTGTCTGCACAATGGAAGATAGCATCAGCAAGTTACAGTTACAGTGGTAAAAAACTTTCATTGAAACTCAATGTATAAAAAAATTTGTTAAGGCATCATCACGAGACATTTCTGAAGCTACCATCACAAGACATTTCTGAAGCTACCATCACGAGACATTTCTGAAGCTACCATCACGAGACATTTCTGAAGCTACCATGTGTTGATGAAAGAAAAGGGAGGGAAAAACTGAAAGGCTTCGAATTTTAATGGTGGCTCAAAAGGGTTTGTTAAGGTATTTTACGATCTTGCCAAGCTCGTAATTTACCAGTCTGATGTTACATGCACTCCTACTAAAGCTTTTTCTTTTTGTCTTTATAGCTTTATTATTAAGCATCATTTTCTTTGCACACACATCATATACAGTTTGGGACTAATGCTCCATTTGAATTAAAAGGATTCGCCAGGTTAGTGTCACGAATAAAATTATTCATTCGGTGTAAAATCAATAATATTTCATTTGGGATGTATGCCAAGCAAAAAGGCGAATATGGAGTAAAATTATTATCATTCAGAGTTAGGCTATTAAATGATTTTTTTCGTCAATACGGAGCTATATTATTTAGCGCTGAAGTGAATTCAAGAATTATGACCCTCCACATTTTATTATGATAAAAAATCAAATGTTCATGTATGAAACATATAAAAACATTTCTTAATGGTTTGGAGGTTTGGGGTTTAGATCATTCTGAATACTGGACATCCAGATTCAGACTATATATTGTATTTATACACTGTAATCTTCCATCTTTATCTTTCAAACTGCAGCACCCTTACAATTACTTTCCATATACCTAATAATAATGCATTAAAAGAATTCAAAGGGAAAAACTACATATATTTGTTATTCAAATAAGTTTCATATGCAAAACAAAACAAACAGGAACAGTTTGAACCTTTGATACACTGAAATAAAGATTTATCTAACATAGATCAATTTAATTACTTACACTCATATTTAAGTATAGTAACTATGAATGCAATTAAAGTAATTATGCTGACAAAAATTACAAAGTAGTATTAGAAACCTTAAAAGAAACAGTTGAGGAAAAGATTTTAGTTCTTAATTCTTATTTAAATAACTTGCTCAATCCAACACCTGTTAAGAAATCAACAGACATTTCTCTGCTTACAGAATTGTTAGATTCTTATAAAATGGAAACTTGCAATTTAGAACAGTTAGGGGTAAATTCAGAAACATACTGATCTCTCTTGTGTTAAACTGTGTTACTTATTAAATTCATACCACAAGATACTGTTCTAGAGATCACTAAAAAATGAAAATCAGGTGAAGATTGGAAGGTCTTGAAAATAATTTATATTCTAAAAACAGAACTTCAAAGCACGAGGGAAAAACCTTATTTTTATACAGATTAAGCATTCAAGTGAACATTAAACAAAATTTCAAACTCCATCCTGAAACATTAGTGATTTGAATGCAAAGCACCAAAATGTGCACATTAGTGAAAAGGATTCATAAAAGTACATATGCAGCAATGGTATTTAACATGACACAATCTACATCATTTTCAATTCTGCAGCACATGATTCATTTAAATTTAAATGTAAAATGTTACCACAAAATAAGTTAGAAACTTAAAAAAATACTAAAGCCTGTTTCAAAATGTATCATATTAGTGAAAACTATCATTCTAACAAGCTTTCTTGTTTCAAATGTAAAAGTCACCATGGTTACATTTATCTAGGTAATAACCTAAATAAGAATACTGCATGAATTGCAGTATTTTGCAACATCACTGTCACACTGTTTAGATTGATATATTATAAATATTTACTATTTTTATGACAGAAAGCAGAAATACACAAATTTAAATAAAGGGACTGCTAACAATTAAAATCAGATTTTTTTTTACATATTTTTATCCTATTTATATAGTATTATTTAATACAAAAACATTAAATATTTTTGTATTATTTTCTAAAACACTATATGTTTACCATTTTCAAAATTACTTCATTCATTTTTCACTTTCACCTCATTCTTAAAAATAATTCAAAACTTTTAAACAATAATTTTGCTCATAAAATAAGTCTATTCTTAACTTTAATTTAAAAAATGTACAGTAATTAAAAATATAATTATTAATCCCATTAAAATTTTATAATCTTCCCTGAATAAAATTTTGAAATTCTTTATTTAATGTCTTAGTCCAAATTATTAAAATTCAAGTTTCAAACATCATAAAGTTTTATCAAAACATTGCTATACTTTTAAAATCAAGCATAAGAAGAAAATAGCATTACATGCTCAAATTTCAAAATAATACATTAACAATTTCCTATTCTATGAAAAATTTCTGGTTATATTAATGAATGAGAAATTGTCTATTTCATGGCCATGAAAAAATTTTAGTGTATGCTATAATAATAACATTAAAAATGAGTTATGAAATAACATAAAAATGCTCGCAAAATTTATAAATGTAAAACCATTAAAAAATACTAAATTATGACACTTTCATAATCTGAGCAATAATATTTTTCACTTTCTTTTAATAGCACAATCGAATTTCAGAACTAATTTTAGATAAAAAAAGGAATGAGTCCACAGCATAACTAATATAATATGACAGACTTTCTGCAAACAGAAGTCCTCAGCTCTGTTCTTGTATATGTTTTTTAATTGTGGTTCAGATGTGTACTTCTCATAGGAAGATTGTCTGAACATTTAAAAAATATATTCTGCTTTTAGGGGCCTAATATTTTAGGTGGGAGCTTCCTTTTTTCATGTTTGTATTCATTACTGCATGATTTGCTATTTGAATTGCTTCAAGCTATAAGTAAACAACATATATAAAGTCAAAAACCTTATTGTTATAACAACTGCAACTCATTAGCAGCTCATCAGTTTCCTCCTCTGGTAATCCAATAAAATTGAGTAAATTTATGTTCTGTAATATCTTTGCGTGTTATATACATAGTTTTTTTTCATTCAAAGTTAGATAAGTTTACACAAACAATACAGGCCGAAAAGGGAGCTGGTCTGCGCCCGGTGAGCCTGTCGGCAGCGTCGCAAAGCGTAATTTGGAATAATGAAAAGATCATGCTTTGGATCTGGTGAGATTGCCGTGGTATTATCCATAAAAATGTATCTCTCCATTAGTCGCACTATGCATCACATAAACGTCAGCTGTGCGCCGCATGAGCTGACTCAAGCAGAACTAAGTCAGACGTGTTTCGAGAAGACCTGCACTATCCTTCTCGAATATCAACGCAAAGATAAAGTTCTGGACCAGATAGTCACTTGTGTTGAAAAATAAATTTATTTCAACAACTTAGGCTACAAATTTAGTTGATCTGCGCCCGTGAGTCCATTGGCAGCATCATAAAGCGTAATTTGACTAACAAAAAGATCATTCTTTTGTATTTGGCGGGATTGCCGTGGTATTAATCACAAATAGTATATGGAAAAAGGTAAAACCCTTGACAGTAAAGGATACAACAAGATGCTAGTGCATGTTGACGCTGCTTTCAAGAGTCGAATTGAGTTCCGGTGCAGAAAGGTAACGTTCCATCAAGATAATACCATACGTGTCTGCATTCACCGGCTGGCCTCTGTATGGACTTGAAAGGGATCTTTCACCACACCCACTATA